AAGACAAAGGAGTAATTTTCGCAGGGAGGATGCCTGGGAACAGCTGAGCTCAGAAGAACACAAATGCAAAGGTTATAGTTGATGCTGCCTATAAATAAAGGAAAAGTTTACAGTTGAACAATAAACCACCCCACTTTGTTCAGCTCTTCCTGCAAATAGACTGCAGATTAGTGAGGGTAAGTGTGCTTACTTAGAAAATGAAGAATAACTCTTCCTGCCTTGGTGCTTTCCAAAGCTGCTGGGGGAAATGACTTTGTGTAGTACAGGACGTCAGATTATGAGACCATAGGTTATAAGCTGATAAAACCAATTTCATGTTCACAAAGCAACCTCATTGCTTTTAGAAGCAAAACTGAAATCTGAACTAGTTAGAGCTGTTAGCAATTGAAATATGTATTGGTTGATAAGTTTTCATCAAAGTTGGACAGATACACACTGCGTGGTTTCTTTAGGCATGTGAAATGTACATAAAAATGAAATGTGAATGTTTTAATTTAACCTACTGTGGAAATTGATTCAGGAGATGGAAGTCACACAGCTCTACAGTGCACAGGCCTTTAAGGAATTCCTGGAAAGAAAGCGCCTCAGACAGCCTTTGAGTCATGAGAATCTGCTTAGGGTGTTGTGTGTGTCCCCAGATTGATGTGCTTGTGGCTATTGCTGTGTTGTCCTAATGTCCTGGTTGTAAAAACGCCTAGACCAGGGACTTGGAGTTCTTCTCTCCCATGTTTTGGAGCTTTTGGAAGGGACGAACTGCTGTAATAGCATAGGGGGGCTCAGAAAGCAGCTGGGGCTCAGCTGAGCAGGGGATCTTGAAAGCAATGCTGTGATCCCCCTGTTCAGGCTTAGCGTGAAGGACCAGTGCGAAGTGTCATCCTGGGAGCAAGTCAACAGATATTGTGATGTACACTTGGGACTTGTGTAGCTCTGCAGCTTGTGTGGCTGGCATCCTTAAATGCCATCAGCATATGCAAAGGCCTGTGCTATCTGTTAACTGTGGGTACAAAGCAGATTTAAACCTCAGAGCTGGAGAAGGGACTTGACTGAGTTGGATCTCACATCACAAGCAACAGCTGCAACTCAGCCATAGGTGCACCAGATTTTTTTACCCTTTCTCTTCATGTATTTTACCTTGTTCCTCAATTTTAAGTATCATTTGAGGCTGCTAATGATGCTTATGTTTAATCTTTAGTTTCAGTTCCTTTGGAAAATGGTGGCTGGGGGAAATTTAAGTAGAGCTCCAGAGGAATCAACCAAAGCTTGCAAGAAAAGTGTCTAAAGAGATATGACAAAATAAGAGAAGGCTCTTTCGTGACCATGAATTAATACAGATTTCTAAATTCTCTTGAATAAAGCTAGTAGCTGAGTTGCTTCTAGAAGAATATTCTCACATTAGAATAAGTCTTAAGGTAGTTTTGAGCCGATTCTGAAATGGACAGATAGTTTGAAGATTGGATTTGGAGTACTAGATTCCAGGCATAAACCACTTGGCTATCTTAGCAATGCTTGGGCTTGGCTAGAAGGCAGTCATGATGTCTTGTGCTGTAACCTGCTGTCTTAGACAAAGATCCTGGTCCACAAACAACTTCCTGTATTTAAGCTTTCACTTTGTGCTTACTGTTTTACAGAATAGAAATAAGTGGTCTCTGAGTTCTCTAACATGTAACTGGTGCTGCAATCTACACACCTACTGAAAAAATGAAACCTTCCACCTCAAAGTGTGTAAGGCAGTACACTTCTGCAGAAAGATCTCATCATGCTCAAACCTTGCACTGTCAAATGCAGACTTAGCATAGTGAGGCCACTAAAAAACATAGCCTGTTAGCTATAACTACACAAGAGATGTCTAATAATGATAGCTGAAGCCTTTGCAGTGCAGGAACTGGGCTGTCCTGTAGCCTTTGGCCTGTTTGTGAGTTAAACTGCAGCTTTGCCTTGTTATCACAATGAGCTGCTCTCATGACTGAATTCCCTACTGTAAAAGAATGCCTTTGAGCTCAAGGATCTGTTCCTCTCACCCTGGATATGTGCTGTAGTTTATGCTGCTAATTAAACTTTTTGGTCTAACCGGAAACAGGATTTGAGGATAAATTTCTGTAGTTTAAAAAGGATGTCTGAAACAACTAGTAAGAAATCACTCTAACTCAACATTGCATAAGCAACAGAACAGGATTTAGGCAAGGAAGACAGACCTGGGAAGAGTTAAGTCTAAAACCAGGATATGAAATAGATACGATATGAGGATATGAAATAGAAATGTATTCCTACAAGTCTGAGACAAAATGAATTAAGCTTAAATGCACAAAGGAATTATTCAAGAAACATTAAATGCAGCTGAAGAACCACCCTCACCTGTGAAGAAAAAGGACCTGGTAGCCCAAGGGGGAAGCTTTGTCTCACCTTGGTCACTTAGAGAATGAAATGGAGGAGTTCACACCAAGGTATGCATTCTTCCTCCAACATCAGGGCTCACCAGAAAAATCCCACTTGAAGTAGTGGCTGCACAGTCTGAGAACCATGATCTTTCAAAGCAAGGTGTGGTTTTGTTGGCACATCTCAGCCTCCAGCAAGGGGTATTTGTCTCATGCATCAACACTTCTGCTGGTTAGAAGGTTGCAGACACTCTCCAGGGTGCTTTTAAGACATAAGTAGGCCTCGCTCCTGTTTTACTGTCTTGGCCTTTCAGGTAAGGATTCAGAGCCTGGTTTAACTTGCTGCGTTGCTTTGAGTCGCCTAAAACCTGGCTAACACAATCCAGGTTAGCATAGGCTTCTCCCTTTCAGAAAACACGGCGGGGACGAATCCTGATGCATTATAAAGCTGAAAAGCACATAGGGAGTTTACTGAATGCCTTTTTCTTGTTTCCCAATGGCTGATTGCTTTGCTCAAGATCATCTAAGCAAGTACTTGCTCACAGCTGCTCTGACCTCCTTCTTCCTGAATGCCTCTCATGTGTAGTCTTTTGTCCTGGTGTTGCTGGGCTTCCAAGATGTGCAGCAGGGTGACTTCCAGTCTTGTGGAGGTGAACCTTCCACTGTCTCTACAACAGGATGCCCAAATAAGTATGGAAACTTAGTATTTAGGCAGAAGGTTCTAGAGTTAGAGGTGGAGCCCCAAAAACTGACTAGTTGTAACCTCAAGAGCTGTGTTGGAAGATGAAATGCAGCCTCACCATGACATACTAATTTCTTACATCACATTTGAAGATGAAAATGTCTGAGATGTCAGTGAGTTTAGTACCTAATCCCTGAAATACATGTAGTTGTGTCAGTAGATGGCAGGAGTCTCTTTGCCTCCCTTTGCATTTCTCTCAGTTGGTGTCTTTTTGCCATCTTTTATTTTTGAGTACATGGTCCCTAACTCTGATGTAACAGAATGTAGTTAGGGTAATAGTCTGTCCTCTTTGCTCTTTTCCTCTTCAAGATTTTTTTTTTTTATACAAATGACTAGCCCCTGACATAGCTGTCTTGAAGGCACTTTTTGAAGTGGTGAGGTAAAATTGCAATTTCAAGAGTGATTTAGGTGATGTCTGGAAGTTCAAACTCTGGTCCTGCACTGACTGACAGGGCCTTGAAGAAGCTCAGTGAGGTGGAGCTGATCCTAAAATCATAAACCAGTTCAGCCTCAATCTGTAATAGCTTCTGCAAGTGCATCATGATATTTCTATCCCAGTATTTCAGGTGGCTTTGACTGTGAGTATAGGCAGTTATTTAGAGAGAACTTCTTCCTCACTGTAAAGGAGGGAAGAATATGATTACAGACTTGGCTTTCTCTGAGTTCTCATTGAACTGGAACATAACACACAGGCTACTGCAGAAAATATTTTATTTAATGTTTAACTAACAAAGGTACAGTTATGGGAGTGAGGTTTCTGCTGTTTTATTTCAATTATGTGTGAAGCCACAGATCAGCCTAAGGCTTAACAATCAATTTCTGACAACAGTGAGAAACATACTAGCCATCCCAAGGGTAATGCTGGACACCTTAGGCACTCATACATGATGTCTGTGTGGGCAATAGAGAGTAAAATGTTTACATGACAGACACACAGAATCAGCTCCTTAATTTGGGTGGGGTTTCTTGTATGAAGAGCAAGTCTGCTGATGTGAATTCCTAACTAGGGTGCTGCTTGAGCAGTTGAGTCACTTTCATGGAATTTCTTGAAGTTTTAAATGCGAAGTGAGGAACAAGAGAAGATATTTGAGCTACCTTGTGGGGGATTTTTATCAGCTGAACTGGGAGCAGAAGTGGAAGAAGGCACCAGTGTTAGTAAATAAGCATGGAAAGTGAAATACCTGATGTTGTTTACTATTCCTGGCACAACTGAGCTCCTGGCAACTTTGCAGAAGAGTTCAGGGTAGAGGTATCTGTTAGTCTTCTCTAAATGTACATGCAAGCTAGAAGCTTGCAATGGTCAAAGTGCTTTAGAATGCCCAAACAAATATGAACTTTGAAAATGGAATTCTTGGTCTTATCTCATCTTTTTTCTCAAATCTGCTTGTACCAGAGCCTTCTAATAATGGCACAAATTCTGCTAATGCAGTCAAAGGGTCTATTTTAAAGGTTGTGCAGAGGCTTGCTCCACATGGCTCAGGGAGGGAAGTACACAGAATTCCAGCTGATGTCCATGGCAGCCTTGCTCAGATGAAGACTGTTGGAAGACTACCAGAAAGACAGGCTCTCCAGTGTTGCAAATCTGTGTAGTTCCCTTGCCTTAAAGGGAATTGCTGATTTACGTCTGCTTAGGATCTGGTCTATATGGTGGTAACATCTGGGGCATACAATAATGGTATTGCAGGTATATGCCAAGGATGAAGAGTCTGACAACCAGTACGTGGTCTTGGGAGATGGCACTAGTCTGCTGTTGAAAACAGTATGAAGAAGCATTACTCTGGGATCTGGTATTTTGCACACTGTTGTCCAGGTGCTAATGCTGCTATACAAGTATTTTTGATAGGAACAGTGAATGCAAGGAGGCATTAGTACAGCAGTGGATTGAGCTAATCAGCATAGCAGGACGCTGGTGTCAGCACTGCTTGCAAGTTTTTCATCTCTCCGTGGTAGAGGAATGGGAAGGTTGTAGTATAGCACTTGTCCCGGTTGTAGGTGTAGCAGGTTTCAGATTCATCACAGGAAGTGCTTTGCTGGGCCTTGTATATCTCACCACCCAGCTCAATTTCCACAGGATCACATTTTTTGCAGCTGGAAGAGATGGAGAACAGAACAAGTGTTCAGAGTTGTGATGAGATGATGCCCCTGGTGAAACCCCGATCTTCCTTGCTGATCTGCACGTGGAGCTAGGAGAGTATTATGGCCTTTTTAGGTTTTACACAGGAAGCCCCAGCCAGATGCTTTTAGTGTTGTCAAACCGCTATTGTCAAGACTGGTCCCTGAAAGGGAGGGTTAAGCAGGTGATGTGTAATTTGCTGATATTTAAGACATTTGAGAAGAACAAGGGTCGGAATGAAACATTTCCTGTAAATGTGAGCCCTTTTCATGTGACTTAATCATGGAGATAACAATTTCTTGGCCTGGAACAGAATATGAAAGCGAGATTCTGTGGGGAAAACTTTCCTCCACTGACCCTGCCTCACCTTCTCTACTGGTCTTCAAGCATGTTTTTCAGCTTGGGTGGGCAATGCTGCTGGAGAGATGAAGTCTTTGGAAATTACCTTAGTAAATAATTACTTACAGGTCAGTCATGCGGTAGACAAAAGTGGTTCTGAGTGGGGACATGGGGTCAGAGATGTTCTCTCGAGCCTTCAGGGGGACTCTGCAAAGGAGGGAAGAGAATCACTCTCATGAAAACTGCTTATTAAACAGGACTACTCTGCTGGGAACAATTCTCACCTCTTGTGGTCTTGTTCAGACTATCTGCATTCCAACTTTTCTCTGTAACAAAGCCCAGGAGCAGCACATCTTGGCCCTTCAGTGCCCTCAAAGGTAACCCCAAGATGACTGCAGCAGTTTCTGAAAGGTGCCACTTGGAAGGTGACAGTGCTGATAATTCTTTATTTTAAACTGAGCTCTCAGATGCCTGAGAGACTTGTAGGACATGAACATGTTTAATTACTGTTTCCAGTGTTGTGAGCTCTACCAGAACTCCTGTGGCTCTGAGCCTGAACTTGGTCCATGTTTCAAAGACACACACACTGCTGTGAGGTTTGTGTGAATAAAGAGGACAATATCCTAGTCTTCAACTGAGACCTGCCTCATAGGATTAACCTCTGTGATAGTTCAGGCATTAACCAGTCCCCCCAGCCTATATGAATGGCAGGCTTGCTTTGAGTCCAGTGTCATGGGCCCAATTTGGGTTCAGATTAGATCAACTGTAGAAATGTTCACTCACCTTCCCCAGTCTATTATGTAAAGCTACAACTGGACTGCTTAAAACATGAAAAGGCTTTTTGTATCTGAAGGGACAAAACACATTTGGGTTCACGTGAGCCAGAAAAACATGAAGCAAAGGGAAAATTCCAGGATACCATAGAAAGCAGCCCACGGGGAAAAAACAGTTCAATTCCTTAATGCAAGAACACAGTAAACAATGCAAAGAAAAAGGAACTCTTATAACACTTCATCTCCATGTAACACTTGTCTGCCACTTACAGGATGCGTATGTTTCTCTGCAGGATTTCTTCACCAGGATTTTCTTTGGAGGCGACAAACTTTGAGGTCACTGTTACACACTGGCACTTGTTATTGACCAGCACATACTCCTCGTCATCAGGGTCATGTGGATAACCTGTAAGCACAGGATCCCAAAGTCAAGAAGACAAACCCTGAAACCTGCTTTAGCAGAAAGCCAAGTGATGAGAATGCCAGAACTGCATTACAGATACCATTACAGCATGTGGGTTGATTAAAATCTAGGTTACAACAGGTACAAATGAGCCTCTTGGCAAAGATGAGTTCCACTGTCCTCCCTGCTTTATCTACAGTATGGTTCTGTACGCGGAGGTCACAGGACTGGGAAGGAGCAAATGATGGACCTAGATACTGTGGCTGGTCGGAGGGAAATGTGCAGGGGTTTCTCATGAAATAGGAAGAAAATCCCCTTGCAAGCCTCAAGCTACACCTGAGAGCTGAAGTGCTGCTTTTATCTGAACGGGGAAGGTTACCCAATTCCTCTGTCATGCACCAGGACTACTCCAGCAGTCCAAATCCTAGACTGGATCTGGCTTCTAAATAAATGTCCCTGATCTTGCCAAAGTAACAGTTTTTCTTGAGTAATATGTTGTCCTTCAAGTCCTTGAGGGAAGAGATGACAGAAACCATGACAGCACCCAGCAAGAAGGCAGCCTGCTGACTTGGCAGTGAAAGGCAAGTGGCTCTTATGCTTGTAGTTTGCAGGGACAGCTCCAGTTTTGATGTTCTTAAATAGAGAAGAACCAGCTTAGGTTCAATATGAACTATTGCTGTTCAATATGAAAGCCAGTTAAAATGGGATAGAACATCCCATCTGTCACCCAGGTGCTTTTTGAAGGTTCCTGGTTGTGTGCAATACCTTCCTACTGTGCAGATAGATGGATTTTAAGTAGCTGGTTCTTTGCTAGTTGGTTTTGCCCAAACCAGAGCCTCTGGTCTCTTCACCCATTATTATGGCTTGTTAGCCAGCCTTGCTTTTATATGCATGCAGTCATACCCTTCTTAAGGGATTGTTGTTACCTCCCTCTGTATTTCTAAATGCTTCTGAAGTAACGTTCACAGCCATCACTATGATATCGCTCTTCCTACAGCATCTTCAGCCTGCTTGGAAGTACCAAAACCAGTGATCTTTGTAGGATGCGGTAGTTTATGTTGGGCTCAGCAGGACCTCAGTTCTGGGGACTTGCCTACTCTGCTAGTCCGTCGGAGACAAAGAAGAAACAGGCTGATGATGTCTGTGTTCGTATCTGTGAAGGAGTCATTTTGACTTTAAAGGTTTTGTCCCAGAAGCTGGGTTTGAGTTATCAAAGCACACATCAGTAATGAAGCAGACAGACACATTGTAAAAGCTCATGTCTCTTTTTTCCTCTTAATCTCCATGTCCAAAGCTGCTGGGTTTTATGAGCAACAGACCCTGTTGCTACAGGGTGAAAGGGATAGTGCTCAAAGCCTGTGGGAGCAGCACATGGACTCTGAGGTGGACTGGAAGTTTTCTGACTGTTAGCCACTGTTGGCAGCAGCTTATCTGTTACATAAAGCTATCTGCAAGACCAGGCAAGGACAGGTCTCTGTGGTGTTGACTGGCAGAGCCTCCAAGTATCTAGTCCATGCAATGTCATGCCAATTGCATTCCAAGTTTTCTACCTAAGGCTTCTTACAGCTTCCTTCCTGCTCCACAATATGTTGGTCTCATCTGCCTCTGGGTTATTTTCTGTCATCCTTGCAGATACTGGAAAAAGGCACCAAAACTGTAAATGATGCCTCAGAGCGACCCTAAAATTCCCCTGATGGTTACAAATGCGGTTTCTGTGACAAGTAGCAGCAGAATACTTTTCTGAACAGGACTGGCTGTGGAGTTTCTTGATCAGGAAGGAAATTACTTTGCCTCCTTGCTTTGGGCAAGCTACTACAGGCATACTCCCACAGTTTTCCTTATTTCTCTAATTCAAGTCCTGCTATAGCATGTGCCCGCTGAGACCTTTGGAGCAAGGGCTGGCTTTTAGCATTTCTCTGTACAGCATCCAACACAACCCAGCAGTACAAATGCCACTGTAAAATGTGACAGTGACCTTCTCAAGTCTTGGCCTTTCTTTTGTCATATACAAAGTCTCTCACTTCTTGTCCTTCACACAGACCTTCCTCTGGTGTCTGCCACTGTATTCTGTGTAACAATGTGTGCAGTTCCTTAAAAATTCTTAATTCAAAGCCTATAGTCAAATCAGATTCTAATGGCTTTGGGAGTTGCTCCAAAAAGTTTGGGAACAGGCTTTAATTCATCTTCTAAAAGTATATTAACATACTCTTATGAATATGCAGAGGTTTTTTTACTGTACTCTAAAAATAGTGTCCTGATTTAATTCCTTGTGTAATACTGTTGGCTTCAGTAAGCATAAATTAGATATATTCTACGTAATGTTTTTAAATTAAAATTACAAAGCTCAAAAAAATATAGCTTTATCAGCAGTACTTCCATGTACAAACCCAGTAAAGTCCCTTTGGGAAGACAGTAGTTAGATAAAAAATTTCCTCATGCCCTTTTAAGAGTCTGCAGGTTAGATTTTTCTGGTGCATGATTCACTGCAAGATGGTGTTCCCTCCCTCCTCAACAGTTATGCAGATTTCAGTACCAGCTGGTTGTGTAACACAATATGAAGCCCAACAGAAGCCAGCTTCAGCACAGCAAAGAAGCAAATGCATTCCAAAGATCTGCTCAAACCCTGCTGCAGATCCAAATGGCTACTTTATTAAAGTAGGAAGAGGTTCAAGTAGCCCAAAAATACACTAATTTCAATGTAATTAGTCCAAACAGCAATCCCGTGGCTACACATAACTCTAATTTGACTTCCCCTCTAAGGTGCTCATGTATATATATATGTCTCAAGCCAATGCATATGAATGGGGAAGGCCAAACTGGGCTATGTGTTGAACCAGCACAGTATTTCTCAACACTTTCTGCCTTTTCAGCAAATAAATTATACAGCTGGATGCTTTCCATAGGAAGCAGTACTTCCCAAGGACCTGTCAGGGTAGGCAACAAGATGCCCTTTCCCAAAAGTGGGAGGAAATGCAGGCATGCTGCTGTCCATGCTTTTGGGATGGTTATCCTTGAGCATTGATTTAATCCTGTGGACCAGATCCACCTTGTGAATGAGGATGACTGTTGTATAGTATTAGTACAGTCAGTACCCATTAGCTGTGAACCACACTGAGAAGTGTGTTGGGATGACAGTCTGATCTCAGTCTAAATAAAGAGTATCCAGAAAATTCAGTGGAGTTAGACAATAACTTACAGTTTAATTGGAAATAAATTTGTTGTAGCCATATATAGGATTACCAGAAAGACTTTGGAATCCTTTAAATCTGGCAGGTAAGAGTCTTGCAAGCTTCTCACGACTGCAGAAAAACAAGCATATGTTTGCTGTTTGTTGCTTCAGAAACCCAATCAAAAATGGCTAAAATCTTAAATTTGCAGACAGCCATGGCTTTTTTAGCCTTAAGCCAGCAATTAAAACCACACAGCTCTGTGGTGCAGAAAGACCCTGAGATGTCCAAGCAGCACTGAAGCATGACTGCTTGAGCAGGATTTGAGGTGGTATTTTGGCTGTTAGAAATATTACTGACTAAACAAACCCCATCACTGATCTCTTAAGCAGAATTGTCCATGCTCTTCATTTCTCACCTACCTGCCACCAGGACAAGCCCCAAGGAGATAGCCAAGGCCACACACAGCAACAAAGAGCTCTTCATCGTGCCTCCTCTTCTTTTGAAGAACACAAATGGAGAGCCTGCCTCTGCCTATAAGGCTACGTGCAAATGGTACAGCTATGTGTTTCCTAAAATAAAAGCCCAGCCAGCCAGCAGGGCCACTGTGGAAAATGTGGCTGGGGACTGAAACCAGGCAAGTTCAGTGCATGAAGACTTCTGGCTTTCAGAGGTGAAGGGGGGCAGATGGTTGCAATATTACTGTGCACTTTTATTCTGTTCATCATTAAGTAACAAAGCTGCTGAGTGCAAGCTAGTGCAAAACCATCTTGGTCCTTAGGGGACATCTTGTCCTCAGGGACAGTGGTGCTGAAAAGGGACTCCATGGAATTAGTGGTTAGTGAAAGGTTCTGAGTCAGGTCCTGGGCAAACTCTGTGAGGTACTAGGCAAGCAGACTTCTCATGGAGGGGACTCTCTGGAGAGGACCTGGCTGGGATTTGGCTTTTTTCCCAGATTTGGGATCACTTGTATAACTCTGAAAACTGTCTTCAGGATGTTCATGTGTCTTGCACAAAAAAAGCCTACTTCTTATGGGAAGCCCAGTCTTACCAAGGGCCTCCAAACACCTGTATTGGGGGACAAACAGGGAGGCAGAGCAAAGTACAATGCTGACAGGCCTGTTCTTAGCCAGGGTTATTGCTTCACCGTTTCCTGCATTTCTCCTCCTGCAATGTGTGTTTCTCTCAGTTAACATGAGAAGCACATGGTAAATCTTCCTGCAACCTTCAGCTTTTCCTTGTGCAGCAGAGCACCAGCACTGTGACCAGATACAGGCTTTTCACCCAGCCTGTGCCACCTTGGGCTCACCCAGGGCTGGCGGCTCTCAAGAGGCTGCCAGGCACCCAGTTCCTGAAAGGGCAGCCTGTCGCCTCCTTTGTTCAGACCTTGCAGGCTGGGTATCTAACCCTAGAAGTGTTCAAACACCCTGGGATCTGTCTCCTGAGCTCCTTCTCCTAACACAGGCATCTCCTCTGGCAGTCGCATGATGCAATGAGCTGTTGTGTTGCATCAGCAGTGCTCACACGCAGGGTTTGCCCTGGGAGGTGGTGGTGATGGTGGTGGGGTGACAGGTGCAACCCCACCTCCTAACAAGACATCAGGTGATGCCATAGTTCTTTATAAACCTTATTTTCTCACTAGGGCTCCATCTTTAGGAGGGCAAAATTTGGTTATGTTTCCTTTCCCCCTTCCCCAGAAAGTATTGCCAACAGTTTCATGTGGAGCTCTCTTCCGAAGCAGCAGCAGCAAGATGTTCAATGTGCCCCATCTTTTGCAGAAGGTTAAAAATAAGCCTAGCTAAGTATAAGGTGGTAGTGGTGTCTGTCTAAAGCACTGTTTGGTTCAGTCACCTTTGTAACAAAATAGGTAACTTATTACAAATATACAAGATGGTGGGAGGCAGGCAGCAGAATAAAGCACCTGCAGAAGAGGCTGGTTCTGGTCAGTTTTGCCAAACTGCACTGATAAAACACAGCACTGGTAAGATCCAAGCAGAAGCATCCATGCCTTTTCAAGCATCCAAGCATTTTCAAGCCCAAAGGGAGAGACTGAGCAGAATTATATTTAGTGTGATTCTGTTGATTTCGGTGGGTTTCCCCAACTGCCGGTGCTCAGCACATCTGAATTTCGGTTGCTAAATCGATATGACTGCATACAGACCCTTTGGGCTGTATATGGTGGCACAAGAGCTATTTTAGTCCCAGCTCAGCCACCTGCATGTCTCTGAGCATTTTAATCTTGCTTTGCAAGCTCTTTAGAGGAAGATTCGTTTTATGGTGTGTTACTTTTATCGACTATCCCCTTTTTACATTATGAATTACCAGAAAATTATCTGGGGAAGCAGATGTTAAAGAACTGTGGCAGTTTGGTAAGGGGCTGGAAAACATCACTGGCAGAGGCTAGAGGAGGAGTAATAGAGAATTTGAAAAGAAATGGCAACCAGCCTTGTAGTTTCAGTCTCCCTTCACTTGTCCTGTGCCTTCCATCAGCCCTGGACTTGCTGAATGAGGGTTTTCCAGATCAGATGCTGGGCAGATGCGTGGATAAAGTGAGGCAAACTTGTGTCTCTGTGTGTCCTTGCCATGCTGGGTGAGGGGCGGGGAGGAGGACGGCTGTACCAAGGCATGGGCCATCTCCAGATAAGGCACCTCTGCTAGCAGCCTGTCCTACGGCTGGTTTCTCTCCTCATTTCTCACTCGGGAGCAAAGAAAGCAGTGGATTAAACCAGATCTGCAGTGCTCACTGATTATTGGTGGTGGTGATTCCACTGATGCTTACAGCAAACCCATGTGGTTTGACTCGAGCAGTTCCCAATAACTGGATGAACTGACTCACATCAGATATAATTTCCAGCTTCATCAGACATGGATGGTGTTTTCAGCAAGTCCTGGAGGAGGTTCACGTGTCTGTAGATGCTATTTCTATTCTGCTCCTAGACATTAACCTTGCATTGAGAGATAACACATCCATTTAAATCCAAGTGGAAGTTTGACTGATGTTAAGGCTCTGAATTTTGAAAGGGCAAGACTTTAAGAAAGAAAAATAAAACAAAATGAGGGCACTACCTGCTGAGGGTAGTTAGATGGAACGTATCAGGGACACACTGAAGGCCAGGGTTTCTGTAGGTCACACTTGCAAAAGTTACCTGGAGTTTTAATGACACAGAAATTGGCTGCAGACTTCTCTGGGTGGACTTCACACGAAAGAGGGTGGGATTAAGCAGCAAGATTACAAAGCCCGATTAGCAGAGATGGCTGTGCTTTACTGGCCAACGGGTATCAAGTGAGGATTTTCAATGTCTCACCAAAACCAACTGATTTTTGTTGCTGTTTGTTATGCAGGCCTGTATCCAGGGGAGGTGGTATCTAAAACTTGGCATAGACAGATTTGGAAAGGGTGTCTCAGCCTGAGGTGAAACATATCTTTGGTTCAAGAGTATACATGGAAAATTTAGACCCAGAAGTGACTATGTAGATGTCAGAAGAAAGGCTCCTAAGTGAGACTTGTCTGCTATCAGATCTACCAGAATTAAAAGGAATCACCAAAAAGTGAGTAAAGTTGTGCACACGCCCCCACCCCCCACCGTTTCAGTTGACTTTAATATTTGTTTGACATGTCTTTTTCCACAAGAAGATGTACAGGAGTATTTATAAATAAAACTGCACCTGTTCTGAGAAAAAGGCACCTGCATTTGTTCTGCACAGAGCTCCTCTTGTGGGGACGCGTGCCTGCTTAATTTATCAGGCTTTGGGTTTCTGAGCTCAGACTAAATCAAGTGTACTGTGCCTCCCTCTGCTCTTGTAGCACGGATACCTGCATCTCCACAACAGGCTGCTCCTGGGTGGCCCCATAGGAATGTCATGTAGAGACTGGGTGATGGGAAGCACTTGGAAGAGTTCATGATCTATCTCAGATGTGTCCAGAAAAGTTTTCGAATACTTCTTTTTCTCTCCGAAAGTTTGACGTGATTGTAAGGAACTGAGTAATAAGAAGTTTCAGTGAACCAGGGGACAGATGTCAGGTGCACTTTCTATCCCGCTTTCCACCTCCCCCTTGTGGTAAGACTATACAGACAGCAGTTGCGTGTGTCTGTGCTTTTAGGTGAAGAAAAAAACCCTCAGGAGGGAAAAAGGCATGCTTTTATTTTTTGTGTGGCATTATTTGTTGCTTATCCCTGCCACGATCGAAACAAGTCTTTACGTGGGGGCTGCCTGCATGGCGCAGCTCCCGAGGGCTCTGCATGACTCCATTAGAAACCTAACGGTAGAAGAAAACTCAGTTATACTGCAGACTGGGGAGTGGCTTTACCCATGAACTAGCAGCTTAGCTGCAAGAGGTCGGGTCTGAATGTGCACGTACCTCCGGAGACACACCGGCGGGACGTTTCCGAGCCCCCGCTGGGAACCCGCTCCTC